GTAGAAATAATGACTTTAGGGATTACAGTGCATTTCTTTCTTTGGCCATCTTGTGTTTAATAAGTACTTCCTGGTGGGGCATGATATCCCAGAGGGGTGATGTGAAATCTCTCTGGAAAATGAACACATCCAGTTAAATCAGCAGCTTCCTAATGCAGTATGATTATGTTCTGGACACCCAGAGAGGAAGAGTTTCTTTACCAGTGTGTTACTATTGTTCATAGTTCTACAAAGTTTAAAAGATAATCTGAATAGATAAATCTGTCTCCTATAATTCTTATCAAAAGGAAATGACCATGTTTTCAGGGCAGAACATGGTAAGAGGCTTGGTTTTAGTGCTACCCTGGTAGGAAAACAACTTCCTTGCTTCAGAGAACTCTTTCTAAGGTACTTGCAGAAGTTTCATTCTCCAGCTGTAAATAGAGTTTTAATGCATAATTTCTTGATTTTAAAATTTAGGATGGTGTGGTTATCATACTCTGGAGAGAGTAGGGAGAGGGAGGGAATGGGCAAAAGTTGATCAAAGTTTACTAAATTACAGTTAAATGAAAGCAATGAATTCTGTTGTGATAATAAAATAATAATAAAGTGTATGTTTACAAAAGCCTCAAGAAAGTATTTTGAGTTTGCAACCCTAAAGAAATAATAAATGTTTGAGGAGACAGACATGTTTATCTTGGTGTAAGAATGGACCTATGCACTAAAATATCATATTTTACTCATGATGTGTACATTTTTTATCATTTTGTGAATCGGTTAAAAATAGCCAGGAACTGGTGGCTCAGACCTATAATCCTGGCTACTCAGGAAGCAGAGATCTGAATGGCTTGAAGCCAGCTGGGGAAAGAAAGTCCATGTGTTTCTTATCCCCATTAAGCAACTCAGAGCCAGAAGTGGTGCTATGGCTCAAGCAATAGAGAGCTAGCCTGGAGCAACAAGAAGCTCAGGGACAGTGCCCAGACCCTGAGTTCAAAACCCCAGGATCAGAAAAAACAAACAAACAAACAAACAAATAAGATGGCTACTGAAATGCTTCAAAAGGTGCTAGTGCCTTAGAAAACTGATGAAGGGGTCTTCTTCAGTTTTATGAGTTCAGAATACTAAATATTTAATTGTACTTCTTTAAGTGTCAGATCAGGTAGTAGCAAAGATGCCTTCTCCCCTGGACAGTACTTAAATGTGCATTATAATAAAAATAGTCTTATAACCCAACTTTTTCACTGTTAAACTTTCCTCTCCATCTTCCAATTTTACTTCTGAATAATGTAGCATTAATCACCAAAAGATAAAACTTCAGTGACTATAGCTTGCAGGAGTGAAGTGAGTGGAGAGATTATTCACTCTTGGCTGAAGATTTCACATCCCGCAGCTAGTGTAACTATTAACAGATATTAAGGGTAATTATATAGATTGTTCTAGTAGCCTTTTCTTCCCTAAGTAACACTGAAATGACTTTTAATGTGCAACTAGATAATCTCACGGTACACAGTAAATGTGCTTAGATCTAGCTGTGTCCATCCTGTTGATGACAAGAGTACCCTCTGTTTTGCTTTCTCTATCCCCACCTGACCTCTGGTCTGCACCTGAGCCTGAAAACACCATCTGGAATTAAACACTAAACATGATCTTTCTCAAGTGCTATAACTAGGTATATATCCCCAGGTTCAGAAGCTGCAAAACTATACCGTAGTTCCTACCAACCATCACATTTTCCCCCTCAAGCCTTTATTCAGGATCAGTGCCAGTCTCTAATATCTATCAGAGCACCACCTGTCATTGGCCATGCTCATGTTTTCATGTTTAACTTCCCAGATGAGACGCATTTAGATGCATGTATCCTAAATACTAATTGATACAGCACCAGAAGGACAACGTTTCCTACCTAATGTCATGCAATATGAACAGGTGTTTAAATGAGGGGTCTCAAGGATCTGGAACAGTGATGGTTTTGAGGCTGAACTCAGAGAACTTTTCACAGTTTAGGGAAGGCTGAGACCAGTGAATAACGTGCTTCTGTCACGTTTTTGAAAGGGAAGCAGTGGTATCCTAATAGCAACATATATGTTTATTTGTAACACTTCTCCTCAAACCCAGAAGATCTGCACAGTTGAGGAGCTCTTTAGTATCTAAAAAATACTAACTCTCTCACTAAAGTATCCTTGGAAGACATATTTACCTTTTCAGTTTCAGCTTTCTCATTTGTTATATAAAAGAAATACACTCACAGTGAATAGAATGAAATAGATTGCTGTAAATGATGTCCTCAGAGCCAAGCCTGATACTTTGTGAGTTCTCTGGAAAAGCCCTCTCTGATTTCATCATGGTCACTGAATGCTGCTTGCTCTACTGTTGAGTCAATGTTCAGATGCTCCAACATGTTTACGGCAAATATGATTTCAGTTTCTCATGATGACATAATGGAGATGCAGAGAAACTTATGACAAGACCATCACTTTTACTCAGAGATAACTCCTTCCAAAGATATGAAAGCATTTCCCAAGGTAAGTGAAGGTGATCAGTGACCACCCCAAGAACAGGCTGTTTACCTCCTCATTCATCTCTTGGATCTTTGGATGGTGACACATACTGCCCAGTCCTGATATTCTGTCAGGATAAATACATAGACAGTTGGCCAACAAGATTCCTGACAGTGAAAATCACATCCTCTTGTTTTGTATTCTTGATATCTAGCATAAGGCAGAATAGAAAACTCATTCAGTAAATATTTATAGAGTTATTGAAATAATGGCATATGCATATTGCGTTAGAGAGTTGGCAAATGTTAGGTATGGTGACACATAACCTTTTCATTTTAGCACCCAGGAAATTGAGGCAGGAAGGTTGTCAGTTCTGTGGCAGCCTGGTCTACATTGTGACAAAACAAGAAAATCCCACTGGATAAAAACAAATAAAACCCAGCAAAAACACTTTCTTTGCTGTGTTTATATTTAAATGGATAGTATATGAAAATTAATATACACTAATAATGTAACAAATGGAAACAACTGCATCATTTTTGAATCATGCATATACACACATTTCATCGATTTCATTTCTTAAAGACATATTTAAACATCTGTCCATGTGCATAGTAGTATTCATACCTGTTCTCTGAAGTGATACTGTGCTTTGTAAAAGTCTGAGTGATATCTTTGATATATGTGTCTTGGACAGTACTCTCCGTTTCATTTTGGTGCGGGATACACATCCATTCTGTGAAATACTATTGTTTTCAAAATGGCGTGTAGGTGGCTCTTTCAGTAGCATCCTCTTACCTTTTCATCAATCTTCTCTCTGCTCCATTGCTATGGTCCCACCATATAGCTTCAGTTTAGTAACTGCTCAATAAACAGGTGTACCATTAACATTTTTGAAGAATATACTAGACATTGATAATAAAGATAGATGAGACATTATGTTCATCATACTTTGATGTTAATAATGTATAAATAAATATAGGTTATCCCCCAAAGAAATGGAAATGGATGCTGTTGTTATTTGAACCAAGTTTTAACAAATATAAAAATGTCCTGGTGGATATAGCTAGTGGAATTTGAGTGGTAAGAGTTGGCAATGAGGTTGGAGTATGGGTAGTGATGGGTAGTGGCTTTGTGCTGTTGGAAAGAATGGGTTTAGAAGCAGGTGGCATAGGCCTACAAGTGAACTTTAGCCACACTGAGGTGCTTGTAAACCAGATGAAAGTCTTCTGGCTGCAAGCTCTAATACTCAACTGAATACATTAAACAGAGTTTACCCACATGCCTTCATCTTCACCATAGGACTGGCAGGCCCTATCATGTCCCTCTACAACCCCTGCAGCCTGAGAACTTCTCCTTATCTTTGTTACCAACCCGCAAAGCAAAGCTCAGCAGCATGCAGTGCGGAGTTCAAGTAATAACAATAACACTTTGACAAGGTCTATGCTCATCAAGTAATGTCTATTGATCATTATGATACTTGAAAAATTAATTCAAATTTATTTTGCATGAACTTTATTCTATTATGTGATAAAGCCAGTATATATAGTAGTTACTCCCAAAATCTAGTTCCTTGTTTTCCCTATGACCATTCCATGACATATTTCTTCAATTTTTTCAAGCCATTATTTTATTTGATGTTGATTTTTAATTTTTATTTTATATTGAGTAAATTGTACAAAGAAGTTATAATAAATCAGGTTTGAGCAAAAGGCTTCTTGATCAATGTCACCCCTTCCATCATTATCTCCAATTTTCCCCTTCCCATTCCTACTCTCAAATAGTTAACTAATTCCCTTGACTTGGCTTGCTTCTCTTCTTGACTCTGTGAGAGCAACACAAGCACTCCCTCAACTTGTTCTGAACCTTCCCTGTGCAGATTGCTCATGCCCTGTGCATATCCACATTACACACATATTATCTCATGCACTCTGACATGTGTTGTCATACATAACTTATTTGTGCATTTGGTGAACTCTAGGAATATCCTACATTCTTGTATTTCTTATAGTTCCTAAAACTGATGTTGAATCAGGCATTGGTGGGTCCAACTTGTATGTAATCCTAGGGACTCAGAGAGCTGAGATTTTGGTTGAAAGGTAGCCTGGGCACATAAGTCGGAGAGAATGTTTATCTCCAATTAACTAGCAAGAAGCCAGAAATGAAGGTACACCTCAAGTGGTAGAGCAACAGCCTTGAATACAAAAGCCAAGCAAGAGTGCAAGATCTTGAGTTCAAGTCCCAATACTAGTACAAATGATGTTTGCAAACTTAAGGAAAATGTCACTTCTGATTGATTTTTTTCAACTTTTATCTTCAAGGAGTATGGAAAACATGCAGCCACCAGATGGGACATGATATTTGATGAAAAAATGAAGGATACAGCCTATTGGTATTCTCTACTTTGGTCTTTTCATATATTTATACATAATCCTATTTTCTCAAATATGAAGCTGTTAAGTATTTGATATAAAGTCCTTGTGGTTTTGCTGGATGTGACTCTGTCTCTGAACAGTGAGAGTAATGTGGTGGGGTAATGACAGTGACCTCCCTGGCTTCATTCTGGTTGGTTTTTCAGACCGGCCTCAGTTAGAATTGATTCTCTTTGGGGTAATCTTGTTCCTTTACCTCATGACCCTTCTTGGCAACACTACCATCATTCTAGTGTCCCTTGTGGATTCAAAGCTCCACACTCCCATGTACTTCTTCCTGTCCCATCTCTCCTTCCTGGACCTGTGCTTTACCAGTAGCATAATCCCTCAGCTTCTAGTCAACCTTCGAGGTTCAGATAAGTCCATCACCTATGGGGGCTGTGTGGTTCAGCTCTATGTCTCCCTTGCATTGGGATCCACTGAGTGTGTTCTCCTGGCCGTGATGTCCTACGATCGCTATGTGGCTGTCTGCAGACCCCTCCATTACGCTTTTGCTATGCATCCCCAGCTTTGCATGACTCTGGCATCTATGGCATGGCTCAGTGGAGTGGCCACCACCTTGGTACAATCCACCCTCACCATGCAGCTGCCCTTCTGCGGACACCGCCGAGTGGATCATTTCTTCTGTGAGGTCCCTGTGCTCATCAAGTTGGCTTGTGTGGACACCACCTTCAACCAGGCCGAGCTCTTTGTGGCTAGTGTCTTATTCTTAGTGCTGCCCTTGTCACTCATCTTGGTCTCCTATGGCTACATTACCCAAGCGGTGTTGAGGATCAAGTCAGCTACTGGGAGACAGAAAGCATTTGGGACGTGTTCCTCCCACCTCCTGGTGGTCACCATCTTCTATGGAACCATCATCTTCATGTACCTGCAGCCTGCCAAGAGTCGATCCAAGGACCAGGGGAAGTTTGTTTCCCTCTTCTACACGGTGGTGACCCCCATGCTGAACCCTCTTATTTATACCCTGAGGAACAAGGAAGTGAAGGCAGCACTGAAGAAAATTCTAGGGAATAAAACGTTGAGCCGCACTTTTTGATTATCAAGATATTTGGGAGAGGCACATTATGATGCATTTTTTAACGGGGGGGTGTCTTTATGAATGATTTGGTCATTCTGCAAATTCTGCAAATCATGACTCTGCAAGTATGCTTTGTGTAGGAAAATTCAGTTGGAGCTTAGATTTCAGAATTGGGCAGGTGGAATATTTTGCACAACTTCATATCTTCTCCTTATAGGGTTGAACAAAATTAAGCAGTACAAGTTAAAATGAGATTACCGTTCTAGACATTGTGTTATTTAGTGGGTTGTTTAATGGATTTAACCATATGCTACATGGATATCAATATAATTGTTTCCTTGGCAGAAACTAAAGTATTTTGTGTTTCAATGAACAACTTAAAACACACCTTATAACCCTTATCAGTAACATTGTTCTTTCAGCCAACTGCATTTCTGATTGAGCCTCTTTGGAGCCCCAGCCGCGCACAATAAACTGATCTCCATGGCTGCAACTCTGCTCCTCTTCTAGAAGTGTCTGAAGTTTTGTGTTTCCTCTTTGCTGTGGTTTAGACAGAATGCAACTCTTAAAACGTAATCACATGAAAAAATAAAATCTTTATCCAGCACAAACCTTTCTTATCTCTGCACATTCAATTATTTAAGGTACAATACCTCTGCTTGTGCATATTTATTTTTGTATGTTTTTATTGTAAAAATACTATACAGAACGGTTACAGTTACATGAGCAAGGTAATGAGTCCATTTCCTATTGAGCATCGTTGCCTCCTCCTTTGTTTTTTCTCTACCATCCCTTCCCTCCCACCTCCACAACTACTCCGCCCCCCATCTCATTGTTACAATGGGTCAACTGTCAACCTGTATCCCTATTTAAGCATTTTGTTTTTCCCTTCCCCAAATTAGAGAAATGTATATACAAGATGCAGGGCAATGGAATCAAATACAGTGAAAACAGGAGTTATAGTGCAGGGGGGAGAAACATACAAAGAAACAAAAAAAATCCATGATACATTATAAATAAGTTAGAGACAACAGCAAGACAGAAAAAAAATTTTGTCCCTATCTTGGTGTTCATTTCTCTTAACATCATCTTATATGGTCATATGTACATAGCCAACAAATCCTCAAAGAAACAACTGCCTGATAAATAAGTGTGCTAAAGACTTAAAAAGAAACTTCTCTGAAGAGGAAATAAGAATGGCCAATAGACACATGAAGAAATGCTCAACCTCTCTAACCAGAAAAGAAATGCAAATCAAAACAACATTGAGATACCACCTGACCCCAGTTAGAATAGCTAAAATCAAGAACTCTAATAACAACAGATGTTGGAGAGGATGTGGACAGAAGGGAACACTACTGCCTTGTTGGTGCAGTGAAAATTGTTCAACTACTCTGGAAGGCAGTATGGAGGTTCCTCAAAGGACTCTACATAGAGCTCCCCTATGACCTGACCTAGCAATCCCACTTTGGGGCATTTACCCAAATGATCACAAACAAGGCCATACTAAAGCTACCAGCACAACTATGTTTATTGCAGCCTTATTTACCATAGCTAAGATATGGACCCAACCCAGATGCCCCTCAGTAGATGAATAGATCAAGAAAATGTGGTATATATATGTAAAAGGGAATTCTGTGCCCTCCATCAGAAAGAATGTCATAGCCCCATTTGTTATGAAATGGAAAGACTTGGAAAAATTATATGAAGTAAACTATGCTGTGCATTTTTAAAACAAGCTCAGAATTAACATATCACAGCTAAACCATAAGCTCCCATTTGTCTTTTTTTCTCCCTCACTGTTATCATGATCAGAAAATGACACCTACTGCATTAAATAGTCAGTCCTGTGAATTTTCCCTGTTATTAGCTACTTCTGTACTGAACTCATTTCCTTCCACTTGAACTTTCTCATTTGCCATGGGGAGGGCATGCTTGGCATCCCTGTAAGACAAAGAATATTTACTTAATGACTTAGTCACTTTTTTTTCGTTACAACCTGCATGTTTTTGAGTTCATGCTGGCATTTTGTTTCAATTTCATTTTTTATTTACTCCTGCATTTTTATATACTACAAAGTATATGTAATTTTTGACACATCATGCAACTGAAATTTTTCTTAAGAAATGGATTTATTTATTCACCAGTTATTGAGACATAAGGACACAGATTTGAAACCAACAAATAAATAAACCTAGTACTCATACCTTCATAGAGTTTGCAGTCTAAAGTCCTACTTCCATATTTGGTAGCTTTTCTCTGTGTGACAATATCTATTATCAAAGAATAGAAGCCAATTTTTTTATTTTTTTATTGTGAAAATGCTGTACATAAGGGTTATTGTTACATGAACAAGTTAATGAGTACATTTACTATCGAGTATTGTTGCCTCCTCCTTTGTTTTTCCTCTACCATCCTTTCCCTCCCACATCCATTACATTCCCCCCAGCTCTCCTTCCCTGCCTAAATTGTAAAGTTCATTGTTCAACAGTGTCTTGTACATCTCATTGTTGCAATGGGCTCACCTGTATCCTTATTTAAACATTTTGTTTTTTTCCCTTCCCCTCCCCAAATTATACCAACATCAAATACAGTGAAAACAGGGGTTATACAGTAGAAGAACATACAAAGCAACAAAAAAATCAGATGGTACCTTATAAAAACATTAAAAACAATAGCAAGAAAGAAAAAAACACTTGTGTCCCTATCTTAGAGTTCGTTTCACTTAACATCATCTTATCTGGTCATATGTATGTTATGGAAGATGTTACTCTCATTTTAGAAAATTCTATACAATATTAAATGTAAATCAAAGTATAACAATAATAGCTATACTATGATGATGATGATGTTGGTCGTGGGGCTTGAACCTGAGACTGGTCACTGTCTCTTAGCTCTTCAGCTCAAGGTGGGTGCTCTACCACTTGAGCCACAGCACCACTTCTGGTTTTTTGGTGGTTTATTGGAGCTAAGAGTCCCATGGACTTTCCTACCCAGACTTGCTTTGAACTGTAATCCTCAGATCTCAGCCTCTTTAGTAGCTAGGATTACAAGTGTGAGCTGCCAGTGCCTGGCTATATTATTATTTGTGTCGGCCTGGGCTCTGTCTCTGAGCTCTTTTGCTCAAGGCTAGCACTCTATCACTTTGAGTACACCACCACTTTCAGGATTTTGGTGATTCATTGGAGATAACAGTCTCATTCATGGACTTTACTGCCTGGGCTTTGAATCACAATCCACAGATCTCAGCTTCCTGAGTAGCTAGAATTACAGGTGTGAGCCACCAGTACCTGGCATATTAGTCTTTTATTTGTGACTTTTGCAGTAAATTGATAGTTTCCAAACAACATTATCTAAGTAGTTACAATTCACTTTGAAGAATGGTGGCAGAATTTTTATTTTCTAAATTACAAAATATGTTAATAATTGTATCCAAAAGGATCACTGGATGAGGTTTTTGTTTTTGTTTTCTCTTGTTTCTTTGTTTCATGCTGGTCATAGTGCTTAAACTCAGGCTTGGGTTTTGTAATTTTGTGCTCAAGGCTAGTGTTCAACCACTTGAGCCACAGCTCCATTTCTAGATTATTTTTGGCAGTTCATTGGAGATAAGAGTTTCATAGACTTTCCTGCCCAGAAAGTCCTTGAACCACAGATCTCAACCTCTGGAGTAGCTAGGAATATAGGGGTGAGGCACTTCCTCCAGACTCAGTTTTAAAGGGCTGAAATCTTGTAATAGAAGTTAAGTAGTTCTTATGTTGTATCACCTATTCCAGGGTCAGAAAAGACATTTCCTTTAAACCTCCTAGACGAATTGGTGAAGGGGCACACATGATATAGTATCACATGGCTGCAAATGGTGTTGTTCCTTGTGCTGAGGGGACATAGCATCTCTAATATTCAAGTAAAATTGGACACAGTGATCTAGAAAAAAATGTAGTAGAAAAGAAAATGTGCTGATTAGGCAGGATACAGAATTTGGAAATAGAGAGTTAAAGATAATATTTTTTTTGCTTCCAAAGAATAGATTTATTTTTAACTGATATACAAGACATGAAAATCCATGTAATTTAAAGGGGGTAACCTGTGATGTTTCAATATTATTTTTAACTTCTTCAAGCCCATTGTAGTATTGTAAGAGTAAAAACAAGGAGTAGAAGCCACAGTGTTCATTCATTTGCACAAACATGTAGGGGTAATTGACTATAGTGAGATCAACCTGGAGTAATAGGCAGGAATGAGAGCTGCAGAGTAATTTTCCATGACCGCATACAGAATGCTCTGCTATGGGCATTTTAATGAGTTTCAATTTTTCCACAGAGGGAAGATGGTAATTCCCTAACCCTTCTGGGGGCAGGCTGAGGCAACATGAGCAAATCTTTTCTCCTTCCCAGCATAAACTAGTTCCTGAGAAGATCATCAGTGAGGTTTCTCCTACTCAAGTGGCCTTTTTTAGGGACTGCGGGACTAGGGTATTCTCATGCGTTTCTAAGGAAGCCCTACTCTCTCCAGGAGAAGTCATGTAGGTCTTTCTGTTATTTGAGATGAGTGTTTTCATGCTGCACCACACATCATGTTGGAGTGGTGAATGACTGCAGTTTCAGTCCCCACTGCAGTTTCAGTGTCACTATGACACTGTTGTAACCAAGGATCACATTTCACCCATGTGCCACATTCTCAGGTGATGCTTCTGACATCTTTGTATCATATTGCCCATAGGTGAGAACGATCAGGTAATTTTTTATGTCATTATTTTATGTAATTTAAGTGGTAGTCATGACAGGACTCTACCCTTTGTTTTCTCAATTCATTCAATTCGTTCTAGTTTGTCTTTTCCACTGTAGCTCCTGTGACTCTGGACCCTCCACCTGGAAAAAACAACTTATTTCCACAGCTCACAGGCAGCTAGAGACACCAGAGAAAGACGTAACTCCTAAAGGCAGAAAGAAGGTTCTTGGCTAGGAATAAGTATGATAATAGATGTAACCAGATCTAGTCATGATGGTCAGATTGCATATTTT